CTATCTATCTATCTATCTATCTATCTATCTATCTATCTATCTATCTATCTATCTATATTGGGGATTTGTAGAGAAAGATATTGAAACTAAAATTGTCCGCGTGACTTTCATTAACAATTTTTTTTGTTAAAAACATTGCACATATTTTTTACCAAAATATGCAGCTGAAAGAGGATCAAAAGGGATCAAATTGTCAACCACAATAATGAAAGACCTAATTTTGAAAATTTGTTAACAGCTAATGGATCCTCAGTATCTTAGCAGACAACTGGAATGTTTCGGTATTCTGTTATTTCATTTTCTCAGCAATTTAGTAATATAATTTTGATAAGTGTTTTCCTAGTGCTTAAGGCACCAGGCTATAAAGCAAGAAGTAATGAGTTGAAGTGTCTCCATAATCATTAAGGCCTTTTGGGTCACTCTCTCTACTCAATCCACTTTATAGGGTTCCTGTTGTAGGGAAAATAGGAGAGTATTGTGTGTGTTTGCTGCCCTGAGTTATTCATAAATATAATAAAGACAGGATATAAATAGTGTACCCACTAAGTATTTTTTATAGTCCAGTAGGTGTGCTATTTGAATAGCAGCATATTCAGTCTTCATTTTACGTTCATTTATGCGGAAATAAAAATTGAAATTATATATTTTAATTTGTAAAGACCTTTCCCCCCAGGAAATTGCATTTAATTCCCTATGGGACAGCCTCCTTTTCTAACCCACGTGTCAGGGCAATAATTTTGATAATAATCATGGTCATTGGAGTAAAATATTTCCTCCTAGCAATTAAAAAGTTGAACATTGAACAATATAATCTACCATGTCCACACCTGCAAACACCTGTTTTTACAAGTTCAGACCTGGAAACCTCTTTGCAAGAGGCTAGGAAATAGTCTAGAGATTTGTCACAGATGGGTGGATGCGACTGCTTTCACCTGACCCTTGAATCTTCCAGACTTCTGTATTTAGTCTTTTATGTGTAAAGCTAAAATAATGCTAAACTATATTATGGGTTGTTTCCAAAACAATCAATCACTAGTTTTCCCAGAACGAAGAACATTTGAACATAATTTGCTGCTAATTTATAGCATTCGTCTCGTTCACACCACAATCTTTTATTGCATCTAAACTCTAAATGTGTGGTGTATCTTTTTAATGTCAGTGTGCCAGAGTGTCAGTGTGCCAGTGAGCAAGAGCTACAGGAAACAACACTCCCTAGAAAGTAAGATTAATCCTGAAAGAGTTCTCCCCATTGTGCCCCGTTTTTCTCCCCAGCTGCCATCTAATAAACTTGATAAGGAAATGAACACAAAGGAAAGCTCCTCGTGCGGGGCCGAGTGTTATTTTTCCACCTAGGATCTCTCCGGGGGAAAAAAAATGGTATGGAGTTGCATGTCTCAAGAAATATTTTTAGCTAGCCTGATTTAAGCTGCAAAATCCACAAGAAAATAATTGTCGACAAGAAAATAATTCCTTTCCTTCTGATTCTAATTTTACTTTTTTCCTTTGCTATAAGTTTTCTATAAATGAAGTAACTTTGTCGCCCTGTGATGATGTCAGCTACGCGGTTTCATCGAGCGCGCTTTAGTTGAACGCGGTTTTGTGGTGGAACCATGTTAAACAAATCCAGAACTCATTTGTATCTTCAGTACAGGTGGTCTACAATTTATGATCACTTGCTTGGTGACTCGAGTTACAATAAACCTCTCCCTGGAGTGACTTGTAACCTGAAGGGTGGATTTCCCACGAAGTCAGATGATAGTATTCTGCAACCAGCCCGCATTTACAGCTGTTTGTGGGTTTCTGCTGTGATTTGTGTCTTTTGTTAGGCAGCAAGTTGTGTTTACTTATGATTTCTGGCAAAAAAACAGCCGTTGGGTACAATGGGTCTGCTTAATGCCATGACGTCCATGTGCCAACCACATCAAGAAAAGGTTGAGTGACCTGCATCGTAACTATTGAGTTATGGCTGGAATGACACTCCCAAGTCAAGGAGTACCTGTACTGTTTATAGTTACTTTACACAGCATCTAATTAACTTGCGGAAAGTACTATTTCAAAATCCAATGGAGGGCCACTACGTTGGATGGCCTTATAAATGTAGTTTGGACAACTTATAGAAAACAAAATGCATCAATTGCTATTGGTCTCGAAGCACTTCTGAGTTAGGGCAACAGGCTTTTCAAAACACCAGGTGCAGGAGAGAAGGGGGGATAGTAGGACAAGGGGTAGACCACCTCCTTCAAGCATTCTAGTTGGCTACTGTGAGAAAATGTTGTACTTAAGATTTAGCAGAGCTCTGCTGTGTTCTTAAAATGCTAACGTACTTAGGAAGGTATTATTATACCTCAAGCATCGCCAACCCTCCAGCATCAGAATCAAACAACAGTTATTAAAGAAATGAAACACAATTTGTATTACAGCGTGTTTTGAGCTTGCAAGTAGAAAGATACAAACTTATACAATAATTTTTGAGATAGGTAACCTTTTCTAAGACAGCGTAGACTTTTCTTGTTTTGCATCTTATAACTCTGCACGTTTGTTACAGAACCATACAGAAAACACCCTCTTATCTTGGCTGAATTTCAGAGTTATGCTTCCTCACTCGTATTAACACTCAGGTTCAGAAACCCCATTCAGATGTGATGGAAAACAATTATGTATTAAAGAGATCATACAACATCATAGCAAAGGGGGAGGGGGGGAATTAATAGCTCTCACAATAGTAAATTAAACGTCTTACTCCAGTCTATGAATTTTGAGATTGTCTCTTTGCATCATACATTTTGTATGCTCGTGTCACTTCAAGGTTACAAGAGTCTTGGCTCTATTAATATATAAAAAGTTATAAAAGGCAGTCAAAATGGCAGGGGGGTGCCAGCTTTTTTCTAAATAAAGCCGTTTAGCTATTTAAATAAGGCTTATGAGATTATTCCAGTTACTTTAAGAAGAAGAAAAAAAAAGGCCTATAAAGTAATTGCTGATAATGAAGACTGCTGTTTCTTTCCTGCACTGGAAACAATTCCAAAATAATAAAATAAAAATAGTTGCTTGTGCAAATCAGCAAAACGTAACATTGGGGGGGATGCTCATGAAATGATATGCCATCAAACTTACATTCTTGTTATCTCAGAAGAATCTAATGTTAAAGTCTAAATTAAATTCTAAATGCATACAACGCCCTTCCATTTATTCTAAAAAAATATGTACAGCATATTAATAGTATGCAATATGCAAAAGCCTTGTTGCCGGTTAGCAACTTTTAACCCTTCCCCTCCCCCCACCGTATTCACATGTGTACCTCTTACTAAAACAATTACATCACTAAGCCTGTTAGTTTTAAGGAAAATTAGAACTTGTAGATTTTCGTGTACGGGCTCCATTCGTTGGATTCTGAATTATAGACTTCGACTGTGTTCAGGAACTCATTGCCATCAAATCCTCCCACTGCATAGATAGTGTTGTTCACGGTTGCAAAACCAGCATTGCTTCTTGGTGTGGTCATGCTACCCAACATCTTCCACTCGTTCTTAGCAGGGTCATACATTTCCACACAGCTGACTGCATGTGAGCCATCAAAGCCACCGCCAACGAAGAGTTTTCCTAGGGAGAAAACAAGAACATAAGCTTGAAGAACGGTTCCACCACAAATGCGCGAACAGCAAAAGCGCGCCTGACTAAACCGCGGTGACAAAACCGCGCGACGAATGAGCCCTGAAGCGCGACGAATGAGCCCTGAAGCGCGACGACAACAGCGCGCCGTAACCTAACCCTAACCTTACCTTGCGCTGTTGCCGACACGCTTTTGACATCGCGGTTTCAGCCCTCTCTAAGCGGTTTACAGAGTCAGCATATCGCCCCCCACAGTCTGGGTCCTCATTTCACCCACCTCGGAAGGATGGAAGGCTGAGTCAACCTTGAGCCGGTGAGATTAGAACCGCCGAACTGCAGNAAAAGCCTCCTACAAGCTACGCACGGCCATTTTGGTGAAGGTTTAGGATTTCAGGAGGCAAAAAAATGCTGTATTCAGCGTATAAGACTCACCCAGATTTTCAGTCTCTTTTTGAGGGAAAAAAGTGCATCTTATACTCCGAAAAATATGGTACTTTAAGTCAATACTCACAATGGAAGCTAGTGCAACCCTTAGAAGAAAATAATCTTGTGCATTTTGAAAAACTGCTATAGAAAGTCGTAACAGAGGGGACTAGGCGAGGCTTAGCAGATTGCACTTTTTTTCTCATTTCTTCATTTTCTCATTTCCTCCCCAGAACACGGTTATCAGTTGGATATGGCCAGCTAATTCAACTGGAACTTATTGTTAGACAGCGTTATCAATCAGTCCTTTTAGAAATAAAGAACAGAGGATGGCTCTAACTCCTTCAATTAACTGAAACACTTGAAAGACTGGTTTTCTTTTCACCTAGCAAAATAAACCTATGATCCAGCTCCCTAAAAAAGTTTAAACTTCTGTAATTTATTGGTCTTTTTTGCTGTTTTTAGCAACTTTGTTTGATGATCACACTTAAAGAAACATTAATCCATGGTTTGGCCTTATTTGTATATATGTATATGTGTTTGTGTTTCTACTTCCTGGAGGACGACAGAGTTAGAACTGGTGAAGGGATTTCTAAATCTCCCTGAAATATTAGCTTTTACTCCTCATGTAAATCACCACTTTACAGGTGAGATATTTTTTAAATCTGTATATTATCCATTCCGAGAGCAATATTCTAATGGCAATGACATAGCTCTACCCCTCTCCTTACCTAGCATATCATAACTTGGAGTTGAGTTGTGCAGACATTTTGATCATGAAGCTTACATATGAAGTTATGTATATTTTATTAGCCCATTCCCTGCTCTTTTTACAGTAAAAATCTCTTAAATCTGTTTGCTATTTTTTGATGAATTCTGTTGTTACTTTTTCACTGGTATCATTTGTCATGTTTTAATGGAAGGAGATTCCATACTACTCAATACATAATGCCCATCTGCCTGCTTCTCTTGGCCTACTGAATTTGTAGCTGTCATAACTACAGTTTCTTGAAATCCCCTCTTCCTTCCACCTCAATCACCAAGAGCTCACTCAAAAACTGCAGAAGTTAGACATCAAATGTTATGGCTATGGGAACTATTCAACCATACAGGGAGAAGGAAAACAGGTGATCTCCATGGATGCTCATGGCAAGCTGCAGCTTGCAGCTTGCATTCCTCTCCTGCTGTCCATTGTAAAGTTCTTACATTGGGACAAAATGGAATTCTTGTGGCCAATTTATCGTCATCTACTCAGCACTACTAATTATCCAAATAATTGTTGTGCATTTGTGTGGAAAGATGTCCATATGCCTAGGAATCATGAATGAATGTGCAAAAGATTCTGTTCCATCACCCAGAATAAAACACGATTATATAATTGCAAGCATTTTTGCTACTTTTACAAGAGAAAAGTTTCTACCTGACCGGAAACCAACTTTGTATGCTAGCAATGGAGGGAAGGTTTCAAGGTTGTAGAGGGGGGGAAAGTGTTTAATCTGTGCATGTCTCTTTTTACGGTGAAAATGTCTTAAATCTGTTTGCTATTTTTTGATGAATTCTGTTGTTACTTTTTCACTGGTATCATTTGTCATGTTTTAATGGAAGGAGATTCCATACTACTATATATTCATTTCAAACATTTTAATTTCAAATTTAGATTAAAAATGTTGCCAAGGAAGACGTACATTTGATTGTTTCACTTGAGAGCCCATTTATGGATATGTGCTCAGAATGTGTTTTATGAACTTCTAAGTATGCAAATAAGTTACAGCTACCCCTTTGATTTCTGTAGAGCTAAGTATTGTCATTCTATAAATGTTTAATTACAGTTGGATTCCTGTGCTGATATTTCAGGGCATCTACTACATCAGGGATGTCAAAACTCGTGGCATCATGGCATCGTCATGTGAAGTATCAGGACTTTCCCCCCGCTTTGCTAAACTGGGAATGGCCAGCGCATGACCTACCTGGCCCCATGGGCCTCTAGTTTGACAGCCCCACACTACATGTAACTTGGAATAGAAATCAATAATGTTTCATTGGAGAATCAACCATGAGTAAATGGAAGTAAATAAAGACTTGAGGCTTATTTACAGTAATTTAATATAGTTTATAATATCTGGAATTAGGTCAGAATAGTCAGGAGGAACAGAAACTGGGGAACCAATTCCATTTGGTGAGGAAACCTTAAATATTGTTTTTGAAAGCAAGTCCCAATTATCTTAATACACTAAATTACATAGATAGAAATAATATCCTAGACATGTAAAAAAATAACTGTCTTGTGCCTAGTGAAAGGACCTAGTCCTTCACTATAATTCTCATTGGCCCAACCAGCACAGTCCATAGTTAAGAATTATCAGGGTTGTAGTATTAGAAAGGCAGTTATCTTGGGCAGTTATCAAAAACATGCATTATTGAGTAATATAATATGAAGGGCCATATAAACCCCCAATTTTTCATTCATCCCTTTCACTTGGATTGATCCGACCACTAGATGCGATCATGTTGAAATTATAACATATATTTACAAAAGATTAATTGATCTATTTTTATAAGCATAGAAAGGTATGAGTATTTTGAAATTTTCAGAATAAATTTTAGATTTTATTACCTGATAATCCATAGTATATTCACATATATTCACATACTGATTTAAAATTGGTACTATTGGATGATAAAATGTGGATAATCTCTAGGAATGAGATCCAAAGTTAAATTATTTTAAACCTAGAGTTGACATTGTTATAAAATCACTGGATAAAGTTAGAACATCTTATGTAGTTCTTCCACTTAAAACGATTTATTCCAGCCACTTGAAACATATGGTTGATTATTTTTTTTTAATATTAAAGTTTTAGTTTTAAGCTCAGAGTGTCATCATAGTGTAGTTATACCAACATTCCACAAGAAAAGGCTCTGATAATCACAGAATACATTATGAGAAAAAGGAAGAATGCTTTCAGGATTTTCAACTTGTTTTTCAACAGCCTCATTTTTTTCTGTTTTGAATACATACAGTATTGCAGAATTGTGGAAAATCATGATATGAAATTCTGTTATTGAATTATTCAGCTTCATAGATTGTTTTTAGCTTTCTCGCCACATGAGAGAATTCCTTTTGAATGGAATAATATTAGGCAAAGATTAATAATTTTACGTAATTAAAGTCCTTGGAGAGTTTAAGATGTTTCTTAACTTTAACTAAGAGATAATTGCGTTTGTCTTGGGAATAATGATCAAAAGCAATCCATCATTTAGATGTTCACATTTCAAAAATGGATTGTCAATTCTTGTCTGCCTACTCCACCTTCTTTAAATGTTATGCCATTGGGAGAGATCGCAATATTGAAAAGGCATTCAAAGCAAATGGATGTAATTGAGATTAAGTTGCAGACAGTATAAATAGAGTTATAAACTGGGAGACCGTGAGTTCTAGTCAGTGATGGGATCCTACTGGTTCAGACCAGTTCAGCCGAACCAGTAGTGGTTTGGTGGCCTGAGTTGCTGAAACCAGCAGTGACCCAGGCCTGCCATGCCCCCGAACTGGTTCTCCAGGGGCCACCGTAGATGCCACCATCTTGTTCTTCACTTCTACACATTCACAGAAGAATTTTTATTGCACTGCGTATCAAGCATGCATCGAACATGTTTTCCAACAAACATGTTGAGTTATTTATAAAAATAATAAAAATAGAATAATAAAATAAATTTCAGAAAGTCTTTTCTATCCCAGAGAAATCATGCAGCAAACAAAAAGAATGGCTATTTAAAGGTATAAATGTTACTTGATGCATATCTAAAAATTAAAGTTATTAAAGTTACTGTATTCTTTACAGTATCTTTATCCTCAAGCTCCCCTATTTTGCTAATAAATGGCCTGAATTTGACAGGTTTTGAGGAGCACGATGCAATACAAACTTGTACAATTTTCTTGGTTTCTATAAAGAGGAACGTTTTTTTTTTCTATTTTAACTATTTCACTTATTTATTTATTTTTGTNTCAGCGACGCGGTTTAATCGGGCGCGCTTTTGTCGTGCCACGGTCTTCTTGGCACATATAAATCTTTCAACCTCGTGGAAGCCCAAGTTAAACATCTAATTCTACTCTTTGCTTCACGGTATTTAGTGTGTGTTAAATGAATTAAGGCACAGCTCAAAACCAGAGGAGCCATAATTATTTTTAAGTTTGTATTTCCCTAGTGTTCTAAACGGGGAAATGCTTTACTCTCATTATGCCACACAACGTTTTAGTTGTGCTGTTCTACTCTACCCAGAGGTTACCTCAGACCATGTGCATTTTGTACCTGCACAAACTGAATGTGGTCATCATCACTGCCATACACCTCAGCCTGTCCATCTAGTGGATTTCCATCAAGCAGCTTGTGATCAGCTGAGTAGTACAACGTTTGAACCTGTAAAAACAACAGAACAGCAATCTGGCTATAGTCTCCATTGCTGCTTAGCTAACGGTACATTGTATAGAAACTTCGTTAGGATTCCAGGAAGGCCGCCTGATCTTCTCTCCATCTAGCAGAATGGAATTATTATTTTATTTTTTTAAAACAAAGGGACGTTTCTCTCACGACGGCAGATCTTCGAACACTGGATTAAAAGGCTCCTCGTTTTCACAGCTCAAAAAGAAATCTTCTTGACTTCCATTCTCCTTGCGCCGTAGACGTCCAAATGTACGACAAGTATCATGTACATTATCTTTCAGAATAAAATTTGTACAAAGTTTCTTTTTTTTGCAAATCGACAGTTTTTGAAACAGGCAAATCAAAACACTTATGTTATATAGGAGGGGTTGCAAGAAAAGGTAACGGGACTATTTTTCATTTCGGGAACTTCTGTTTCCTACATCTCAGATTAAACGTAATTAGTAAACTTTTAAAGGGGAATCTGATTCTGTTAACTTTTTGAGATTCTCAGGTATGAAAGAAAAACAGAAAAACAACTGCTCTGGAAATTAAGGCTTTTTTCCCCCCTTCGATGGCAAACTAAATTAAATTTTTTTCCGAAACAATCTGAAATGCGAATCTCCATTTTTAAAAACCAAATAAGTTGGAAGTTACGTTCACGAAATTAAAGACTAGTTAATTATACAAAACTTTTCAATTGTTAAAACAGCCTGCAAAGAAGTAAACACCATTAAACATCATCATCATCGTACTCTGCCCACAGCGAATTTTCATAGGAGAAACTGGGGCAAAACTGCTCCTTCTTTACGTGTCATTTACACTTGGAAGATTCTTCTACCGTCCTTCAGCGATGGAGTATCCTAGTTTTGTTAATAAACCTATGGGGAGATAAATCAATGGGGAGGAACAACCATTAGAACATCTGTCCTACTTTTATCTCTTTTAAGTAAAACCTGTAAAAAGAACACATTTGAGAACAAAACCAAGCTTCAAACCCACCTCCCCAAATTTAAAAGTGGAAGATAATTGCTATACTTGGAAGTTTCCTAAAGAAAAACGGAGACAAAAAAACAAGAAAGACCATCTCGAACAGTAGTTTAGTCAGCTCACCTGAAACCCCCCTAAGTTTCTCAGCTTAGGGAGACCTACAGTAAAATTTAAATTCTTCATAGTTTTTTGTTTTTTAAAGGGAACAAAAAAAAAAGGAGAAGGGATCATCCTTAAATTTCAGAAAAACGTAGCCGTTAAAAGATGGCCCAATCTCATTTTTTTCTCCTTAAAAACTGACCTCTTCCATCAGATCTTCAAGGCTGTCTCCGTTCTCCCAAATGCTGCGCTGAACCCAGTTGATTACCTTGGTGTACAGCTTGCCGTTGCTGGGCAAGTTAACATTATCTTCTAGCATAACCTCCAGCTGAAATTAAAAAAGAGAAAAGCACATTTCATTTCATGAATTTCTAGGCTGCCCAATCCCGAAGGACTCCGGGCGGCTTACAGAAATGAAAAATATTAAAAAAAAAGAATTAAAACAAATAAGATACAACAAAATTAAGGAGAAGCACAACATGCACCCAATCAAAGGGGGGGGGGGGCTGGAACTTCTGCAAAGAGGCCACAGCCCCATTCCTTGGGGAAAAGCCAGGTTTTTAATGCTTTTTTTTTAATATTTTTCATTTCTGTAAG